AGTCTCCTGCTGACCTTCCTCGGGATGTGTCCCATCAGTCTCCTACCTGTTGATGCTGATGGTGGCAAACTGCTCTCCAATATCCTCGTCAACAGTCAGGGTTGCTGGCTCCTCACTGCCCAGTCTGTAGACCCACTGCACTCTGTGGTCCTTGAGCACGATGCCCAGGTAGTCTCCAGTGGCCTGAATGCAGGGAGAGACAGGGTCACACACTGGTATTCCAGACAGGCAGGAGTCCCAAGCAATGCTCTCCCGGATGCTCCCAGGGCTGTACTAGCCACACACCCCCATTTGCTCTCCCCATCCACCTCCAGCCAGGCTGACGGCTGCACCCAGAGCCTGTTTGTGTTCCCACAAAGGTACTCAGGTGCCAGGCACAATCCCCTACTGATGTCCCACCACACGGCCCCATCTCACCTCCCGGCTGCCCAGGTACAACACAAACCGCCCCTCCTCTGTCTCGTCCTGCCGTCGCTGACGGCTCCTGGGCTCAGGGTTTTGGATGTAGAATTTGAGGGATGTATAGGCTGCCAAATCCTGCAGGTTGCTGGGCATCCGGACCTGCACACCCGAGCTGCCGTTGAACTTCATGGGGACTTTCACCTGGGGGGAGAGAAACTCAGACCCACGGCACTGAAACCGCTGCTGCCTCTGGTCATTGCCAGCTCTACCAAGTCAAAGCATCTTCTGGAGTCTTCCTATGAGACCAGGGACCCCCCTCCCATTTGCATACCGCCCTCAGGTGAGCCTTTATTCACCTCAAACCCCTGGCACACACCGCACAGACCTTGCCCTCCCACGAGCATACCTTGCTGGCAGCGTTCCTCGCCTGCGTGATGAGCTGTCGGATCCGCACGATGTTCTCCGACACAGTGGCATTCTTGTTCCTCCTGTTCTCCAGGCTGCTCAGCTTCTCCAGCAGCAGCGGGATGGTGCTTTCCAGGCTGGACACTGGGGTTGGAGAGGAGCCAGGGGTTTTGAAGGTTAGTGAGGAAGGGAGGTGGAAAGCTCAGGCAGTTTCGGGACGTGCACATCAAAGCAACAGTGGCTGGGAGCAGAGTCACAGAATGCTCCCCTAAATCCATGGGAGGCTGTGAAAATTCTCTAGTGCGTGCAACCTCCTGCAGTAAGCACATAGATGATGTAGACACCGCAGGGAGGAGAAGACAAAAAGTGAAGGGACAGGACTTAGAGCACCCAGTGTTGGTTGCTAGCTCCCTCTACTCTTGACCTGGAGCTGCAAAGCAGAGTTTCCAAAAGCACAGAGCTCTCTGGGGACATCTGTCCATGCACTGGCCCATGCCAGGCTCAGCACTCACCAGATTTCCTGGCATCCTGGACTGCCTGGTTCAGGTCTTCATTTCGAAGGTCTCCGTACTGGTCTTTCCACTCATCCAGATTCTTCTTCATGGTGCTCAGGGTATCTTCCACGCTCGCAGCTGTTTCGTTGGCCTCAGCAGCTGCTGCTTTGGCCTTCCTGATATGTCCTCTGGAAAGAAAGGAGAAAAAGGTCTGGGATGGCCAGGAGTGAGGAGGAAACACCCTTGGGTCACAGCCTAGGTGCAAGGAGAGAACCAGCCTAGCTGCCCCAGGACAAACCTTGCTCCCTGCCCAGCATGTCCTGCACAGACTGGAGCTGGCTCAGGAGCTGCTCCTTCTTCACACGGAGGTCAGCCAGCTTGTCCTTTGCCGCCTGCAGAGTGCCTTTAATAGCTGCAATTAAAGAAGTGCAATGCTGTGTGTTGGATCTCAGCCCAGCCCGAAGGACATCACACCTTGCAAGGAGCCTCTCTCACCCCCGTTGAGTTTTCTCTGCTCTCTCCTCACAGCCTCCTCCAGGTTGCTGCTGTTCCTCTTCAGCTCTTTAGAGATGGCCCCAAGATTTTCTGATATGACACTCTGTAAAACAAACATGCACTGCCTGGGAGTCTGAAGAGAAACTCCAGTCTCCAGCCCTGACTGCACACAAAAATGCTCGTTCAGACAACTACAGTGGGGTGTGATGGGGAGACCCAAACCCCTGGAGTCTGGCCCCAGCCGTGGCAGAGGCTCTGCTCTCCGGCACAGAACAAAGTGCTCAAGTCTCAGAGGGAACGGGCAGCAGATCCACTACGTGTGGGTGTGAAAAGCTGGAGGACAGTTGAGGGAGTCTAGCTCTTGCTCATCTTTATGGGGCTGCCCACAGCACATACCATCAAAGCCTCGCTGGCTGCCTCATCAGCATCGTGGGCTGCTCGCTCGGCTTTTTTTACAGCTTCAATGATGCTGGCGTAGGCGTTGGAGGCATCGATCGCCCGCTGGATAAAGCCATCCTGGTTTGTGCCCTGGATAATGCTGTGTTGGAAGAAGCAGCCATGAAGTTCATGGAGAGCACTCAGGCTAGGTCTTGCTCATGCCCCCACAGACAAACCCCTTTGGGTTCCTCATCCAGGAACCCAAAGGATAAAGGATTTGGAGATGGATAAAGGATTTGTTCTCCAGGATAAAGCTTTGGAGATGGCCCCCTGCTGCTCCCCTACCATGGCGTGGGCCTGCAGTTTCCCATCCCCAACTCTGGTAGGAGATGTGTCAGGACCAATGCCTCACCTGGAGAGGTTCCTTGCAAGCTCATCCAGGAGCCGAGCATGCTCCTCTGCCTGCTCCACGATGGGAATCTTGCTGCTGGCTGGGGAGAACTTCTTCACCCGCTCGGTCAAGGGCAGCTTTGCCCCATCCAGCAAGGCTGCCAGCTTCTCGTACTCCTGCACGGACACACATCACTCCTGAGGGCTGCCCCCACCTTGCACTCTGCCCGTGCCAAAGAACCTCAATCACTCACCTCCTTCGTGTGCTCCATCTTTTGCAGGAAGTCGGAGACCTGGGCCAGAGAGTCCTTGGCCATCCTCAGGGTCTCCTGCACCAGCGCATGCTGCTTTTGGAGTTCACGGCTCTTTTGCTAGACACAGGGACGCAGCGTTAGGCACCGGCAGGGCTGGGGGTAGAACCCCCCCATTACACCACCCAGCAGTAAGGGACCTCCCAGGGAAGGTCTACCTGACTCTCCTCCAGATTGTTGCGGTTCAGGCTGTTCAAGTCCTCTGTCTGCCTGGTTTTGTTCACAGCCTCGTTGAGGGCGTCGCGGAGATCCATCAGCTGGGAGCTGTGCTGTGCCAGCTGGTCCCGGATGCTGCTCACCAGGTCCTGGTTGGACTCCCAGCGAGCGTGCAGCTCACTCTTCACCCGATGCAGCACTGAGGGAGCAGGGGATGAGAACTGTTGCTAATTCATCCTCCTGTGTTAAAGAGCTCTTTTCTGTGCTTGGCTGCGGAAAAGCTAGTTCTGGTCTCACCCAGCAGATATCAAGGCCAGAAGAGACCATCTGCCCTCTCTTCCTCCCTCTTTTAGCACAGGATCTTGCCCAAAGTTGTATCCAAACCCCCAGTGTCAGTGAGAGGGATGGGATCTCTTTCAGAAAGACAGCCAGCCATGCCTGAAAGGCTCCAGATTTTGTAGAAGCCCCACCTGAGCCCTGTTCCAGTGCCTGATTACTCCCACTCTGAAAAATCACTTATTTCTAGCAAGTGCCAGTTTATAATTCCAGCGTTCAGCTGAGCTATGTTTTGCCACTGCCTGTTATTAAGAAGCGCTTGCTCCTCACAGTGCCAGTGTGCCTGGTTATCCAGTCGGGCTTTATATGGGAACACAACCCAAGCCCTGACTCCTGCGACGGATCCCCCAGTTTGGCAGCGATGCTGAGTGTGGTGGGCTGCTGGTTGTTGCTCTGGACCCCCTTCCTGGGACAGTGGATATGAAGAAACATGGGATGACCCACATCCACACGTGATGCCTACATAACAACGGTAACTCCCTGTGTCGGTCACCAAACAGAACTACCCAGCTAGGACAATCTGCTCTAAAATTTGCCTTATGGGAAAAGGAACCATAAATGAAGTTGTTGCAGGGGATTCTAAAACTACTGTAAGACTTGTTGGGGTGCCTGTTTTAATAACAGCACTCCCCGAGCGTGACCACGATGTGTAGCATTCACACGGGCTCCAAGCCAGACTTTGAGGAACAACTACACCCAGCAGGATGTGCACATCCCTGTCCCAAGCCACTGAGCCAGACTCACGCTTCTGGGCCTCCTCGTGCTCGCGCCTTGCCAGCTCCTCCTGGCTGCCCAGGCTCCGCTCCTTCATCTCCCTCAGCATCCGTTCCACCTCGGCCATCTTCCGACGGAACTCCTCCGTGGAGGTGGTGCTGGCGTTCGCTGCCCCAAACCTGGCCATCTGCTGCACCAAGTCTGCGGAGAAATCCAGAGCCTCGTTAGCACTGACCAACCCAGGTCTTCCGTGATCTCCTAAGATCCCTCCTCTCTTACATCACCCTCAACAAACCGCAGCCAGCTCTCGCGCCATACCAGGCACCCAAATTGCTCGAGATCACGCAGGGGGGGTATCACCCCACCTTTCTGTCTCCTTGGCCGTTACAGTAACACCTGCCACATCCTACAAGGGTGCTGGGAGAGGACTTTTTACAAGAGCCTGTAGTGATAGGACAAGGGGTAATGGGTACAAATTGAAAGTGGGGAGGTTTAGATTAGATATCCGGAAGAAATTCTTCATGGAGTGGGTGGTGAGGCACTGGCACAGGTTGCCCAGAGATGTTGTGGATGCCCCATCCCTGGATGTCTTCAAGGCCAGGCTGGATGAGGCTTTGAGCAACCTGGTCTAGTGCAAGGTGTCCCTGCCCATGGCAGGGGGGTTGGAACAAGATGATCTTTAAGGTCCCTTCCAACCCAAACCATTCTGTGATTCTATGATTCTATCCCAAGCATCTTTTTGTAGCTCTACCTCCTCTCCTAGATCCAGTCACTCCCCCTTTTGCTAAATCTCTCCTGAAGCAGTAGTGCAGATTGCCCCAGTTTTGAGCATTTGAATAACATTTGTGCAAGTTTAATGTGTTTGTTTCAAAGATTGTGTTCAGCCAAACATCTGGGACTCACAATAAGCCTGGTCTACCTGAACAGCCAGAATTTTGCAGGGATCCCCATTTAATGTGTATTTCCCCTTGTTTTCTCCACTGCTCTAAGTGCATCAGTACTCGGTGCTGTTTGAAAGCAGGAGCCGGGCGTTCCCAGCAGAAAAAAATCCACAAAGCAGGGACCCTTCTTTACCCACCTGCAATGCCTTTCTGAATGCTCTGGATATTCAGCACGAGCTGCTCCCCCCTCTGGTGAGTCTCCCTCGCGTGCTGCTCAATCCGGTTTGCTTCTCTGTGGGTCATTGTCATCTACAACAAAAACCACCGGCTCAGTTCAAGTACGAGATGATGTTTTTACGTGACCTATCAGCAGAAAGAACATTCCCAAAAGGCCCATAAGGCTTGGAAACGGGCAGCTTTTGAGGTCCTTGAGCCACGTCTCCTCCAACAGCCTGTCCTGTGCTGCTCACCTGCGATGCATTTAGTGATGGTTTTATTTAGCACCTTCAGAAAAGCACAAGCCATAAACACAGCTCCAGTCCAACAGGATCCGAATCCTCTAACAGCCCCACAACCACAGAGGACAGCACCGTCCTGGGCTCTTAACACAGGAAAAACCCTAGAGCTGGCCCCACATGGGTCCTGACCAGGACACAAGAAGAGATGGAGGGGGCGGTTTGGCCATTCAGAGCACAGACGTGTGTACACAGAGGCAGTTTGTCCATGCAGCTGCCCGGGGACATACATCATCAAATAGAGACTTTTCCTTCTCCCTTAGATTAGGACCAGGCAGTTTATAAAATCAAAACTAATCAAATCAAACCAAACCAAATCAAATCAAGTCTTGCTCGGTTTGTAAGTTCTCTGAAGACTCGACTGGTGGTTTTTAGACTGTATATATAGATTGCATCCTGCAAAAGGTCTTGCTGTACTGAAGCCTCCAAGGACTCCTACAAGAAAAAGGGTCAAACTCATTTGCTGACAGGGGCCAAGCTTTCCCTGACACAGCATGGATACATCCAGGACAGACCTGGATGTTTACCTTTTCTCCTCATATGCTGCTTCTATAAATGAGATTTTATTGAATTGATTTTTACTGGTTAAAGTTGGAGCTGCCTCAAAAGCAAGTAATAAATCAAGAAACAGCCATCAATATCACAAGATGTTTAACAGCCCTCCAAGGGAGCAGGGCAGGTAATGTAGCCTGAGCACCTAAGTAAGAGACCCCAACCCCCAAGGGGTGCTGGCTGGGCAGGAGATCCATCCTGCCTGAACTAGGCCCCTCACAGCCTTCAGAGCCCTCGTTTTAGGCAAAAGGAGGGACTCGTGGTCTGGCAAAGGAAAATAAAGAAATACCCTACTTTGTGCTGCAGCGCGTTCAGGTCCTGCGTGAGGTCCGTGTTCTCATCCTCCAGCTCGTCAGCCCTTTGCCTGACCTTGTTTGTGGCTCTCTGGTACTCACGCAGCTGGTTCTGCAAAAAACGAGCTGAAATCAGGACACCAGGCCAAGAAACACGGGCAGAAAGTGACGTTTAATCTTCCACGTACAGCGACAGTCGCCATAGTGCTGTTGAGACTGTGGAGGCGAGCCCAGGCGATGGAGCTGGCGTTGAGGTTGACCAGCTGGCTGTGAATGGAGGGGAAGGACATCTCCATGCTCTGCAGATCCTCCAGCAGCAGCAGGACACAGCCGTCGCACACTGCCAGGGGAGCAGAGCGGTCAGCACACGGCCCTTGTCCAGGGTTTCCCTCACCTCGCTCCCCAGGATGGCGGGATACAGACCTTCACACCTCGTGCTGTCCGGACCGTTTGCCACGGGGACCTCATACTCGTGCACGCAGACATCGCACTGCTTCCCGGTCAGCCCGTTGGAGCAGGTGCACTCCCCCGTGCGTGGGTCACAGGAGCCTCCTCTGCACTCGCACTCTGCCAAGTTCAGTAACAGGGAAATAAATGCCTGCAGCATCATCCTGCACCCCATCAACCACCCACACAGGGAGGGGAAAAGGGTGGTTTTATTCCAGCTGTGCAACTGCATCCCTGCTGGAGATTTCCCTGTGCAACCAGCAACATGCGCAGGACCTCAGCAGTTGCTTTCCACCTTTCAATCAGCACACATGCCACCAACACCTTGTCCCACTCTCCTCCACGTG